TTGTCGCGCTCCTGCTCGTGGCCGCTTCGTTCTCGCCACGCCCAATCCTGCCTACACAGCTCGCCATTGGCTTGTCCACCTGCGGGGTCTGACTGATCTGGGAGACTTTAGTTCCATCCGGTAAGATCGTGCCCTGCGCTTTTGATTCGAGATACTGCTTGCAATGTTTCCCCGAGACACCTTCTCAATGGACTCGTGCCAGGCCGAGTCTCCTTTGTTATACCACTCCCAACCAGTCACAACGCTCAGACGGGGCAATTAAGTGCCTGTTCCATCATCTAACACAGCTTGGCAGACAGCCCTTCCGGGATACCGGAGCCCTTGCGACTGACTACCGCTCCAAGACTGATGGCTCTTGAGTTGAGTCTTGATTGAGCGCCGTTCGTTTACAGAGTGCTGTATCAGCGGTCTTGTATAATCCTTCATCCGGCTTGCGTCTGCCGCTCACTCGCTCCGATATTAATCCCCGTTTCGTGCCGCCATGCTTGGGCCGGGTGTCGGCCTATTGGCCGCCGTGACGGCCTTTGCCTCCGTCGCACACGGCCAGGCCGCATGGCCAGCTGATCAGGTCAATACCACCATATGCCAATGGGCTCAATTCCGAGGTGAGTTTCTTGGCCTGTGTCTCAAGTAAGTCCATCTAACACCTATCGCAGCCCATGTTATCCGCGACACCGTCTATATGGATGGCGGGAGTATGTGGTGGCTTCCGGGCCTCAGCGACGGAACCTACGGGCAGACTGTGAATGACCGTATGTATCATCGTCCGCAGGAAATCGTGGATGGGGGTACTAACGCTCCCCCGTAGACAACCCCTTAGGTATTGTATATACACTCAATTTCAGCAAGCCTTTCACAACCACCGACAACATCACGGCAGTATTTGGAGCTCTCTCAAAGGCTGCCGGCGGGTCGGGTGCGGCCAACAATTATGCGCCCAACTACTTCGATGGCGCCATGCTAGGCAACGACGCCGAGTTCTTTACCTATGGCGGCATGCTGAGACAGACCAGCACCTTCTCAGACCCGGACAAGGACGAGATCATCGCCTTTCAAAAGTACCAGTATGGGCCAGAGAAGGAGATCTTCAGCTCCGGCTTTCTTCAAGATGACCTCCCCTCTGACTTAACTCGATACCTTGCGTACGGAGGAGGCGCCTCGGCCCCTTCCGAGAACAAGGCGTGGTACTTCTCGGGCATGCACGCACCCGGCTGGGGTCCGATCTACGAGCCGGGCTTCAACGAGTCGCTCACAGCCATCAACGTCTCTAGCACTCTCATCACGTTGGACATGACAACCCAACAGCAGGAGACGTGGAAGAACGTAACGTTGCCGTCGAGCATCCCTGGACGCGCGAACCCCGAACTGGTTTGGGTCCCTGTCGGCAAGGAAGGCATTCTCGTCGCCCTAGGAGGTGTAGTCTTCCCCGAGTTCACTGGATATCTCGGGTCCTCGTCGAACGCGGCAGCAAGTGTGAGTTTCCCCGTACCAACAGAGAATACATTTTCTTGGATGTCACGCTAATGCGTTTACAGAAAGCCACCAGCCCCTCCTTCATGTCGACGATCGACATCTACGACGTCGCGACTGGTAAGTGGTATAGCCAGCCGACAGAGGGCGGGCCCGGACAGCTCACTCGAGGCTGTTCCGTTGTCGTCCCGGCTCAGGATCAGTCGAGCTTTAGCATCTACTACTACGGTGGCTATACCGGCTTGACCAAGACCGAGGAGTTCAACGATGATGTGTGGGTCTTGTCCATCCCGTCTTTTACCTGGGTCAAGGTCGCAGCTGGGACCGGCTCCGGACGGGCTGGGCACAAGTGCTTCATGCCATATCCCGATCAGATGTTTGCCATCGGAGGCTATACGAAGAGCTCTGGTGGCGCCCTGACTTGTCTCAAGGAGACAGTTCGAGTTTTCAACGTATCCAGTGCCGCTTGGCTGAAAAGTTATGACCCAGCGAAGTGGTCGAACTATACCATCCCCGATACCGTCGTCTCAAAGATCGGCGGGTCTCCCACCGGCGGCGCTACGGCGACCACGCCGGGGCCGTCGGGTTGGGCTGCGACCGGCTTGGCCGCCGTATTCGGGGAGAAGTACCCAGTAACTAAGATCACGACTTACTATCCGTACGAGTCTGTGGCCCCGACCAACAACACCAACCCCACTCTGCCCACGGCGTCCGTCGAGCCACAAAGCGGAGGCGGCACTCCAGCCTTCCTTGGGCCCGTTCTCGGCGTAGTCTTGGGCCTGATGTTCCTTACCATGATTGCCGTCTTGATCCTGCTCTGGAGGCGGCGCAAGCTTCTGAGAGGCCGCGCTGGAATGAGCGAGGTCGGCACCGAAGACACCAATGGCCACCGCATCATGTCTTGGATGCGCGGACAAAACACCGATGGCAAGGCGGGGACCGTCACATCGGAAGAGACACCCAGCAGCCCCGACGACCTCGAGAGTGTCACGACGCACCCGCTATCCATGGCCGAGATGATGAACACGGAGATCCGGGCGCCTGTCGAGCTAATGGGTGCGTTCCCCTCCCCTACCTCGGCCAGTTGTTTTGAGCGCACTACTAACACTCTCACAGACACTTCCCCTCGCGTCGAACTGCACGACACCGGCCTAACCCATCTCGATGTGATGAACCGCTACTCACACCTCGGCGAAGAAAAGCTCGTCACTGGTCCTGTCTTGAACAACGGCTCATATTACTCCTCGACTGGCACGCACCAAATCGACCATGCCAGCTCCATTTTCCCCTCTTCCGCCTCGCTCGGCCAGCACCACTCCCAACACCAGTACTCGTCGAGTGAACTGCCCGCCAGCTCGCCTGCAACGTATGCCGAAACACCCTCCACCGCCGCCGTCGCCAACACTGTAGAATCTACGCCAACATCTCCCGCCCCAACGGGCCGTGGCTATGTCCCCTCTGGTGTGTCCAACATCAGCGAGAGAGATAAGGCGCATCTGCGTACCATCAGCGATACCAGCGTCGTCAGCTCGGTTGCTACGGGGATCGCAGCAGAACGCGACAAGGAGCGCGAGAGCGGCATGTCGCCCGTGGCCGAGAGTGTCGACCATAACGATGTCTTCGCTGCGGGGGATGGGCAGGCGGTAGTCTCGCCACCAACGGCGGAACCGGGCGTCGAGGGTAGTGATTATATCAGCGCTGGGCAAGAGACGGCGCCGGCGACGGAGAGGGGTGCCACTGCCAGCGGCACGAGTCCGACGAGCCCGCTGAGGAGGAGTGTGTTTCATGAGAGCAGGGAGGATATGAATGACATGGGGCCGCATGCCGGGCCGCCGCCGCCCGAGGAGCGGAATCCTTAGGAGTATATAATGCAGTGGAGTGTTGTGTGGGAAAAGGTCTTTAGGGTAATTACTGCTCGGGAACGGCTCTGTTTCTTTTTTCGCCATGAGGCGTTGGGGTTGGGTGGTCGCGGGGTGCATTCAGTCCTTACTACGAACCGGGGTGGTCTGTTGCTCTTTCGGGTGTATACGTTTGTCTGTATGCTGTCGTTAGGGCGGAGTGCGCTGTCTACCTATTTACCATAGTACTTGATTAGTAATGATTTTGGAAACCTAATGCGGAGGAGCAAGTGGGGGAGAGGGCCGAGGAGAAGGGGAGACGGGATGCTGATGAGTATATGGGGGATATTGGATACGGCCTTTAGGCGAGAGGCGTATAGATGGAAAATGTACATGGCCGTGGTGGCTTTAATTGGGATCCGGGATGATTGCTGCTGCCCGCTGGGTGAAAGTCTTGTTTGGGCTGTCGTGCTTGTTGTGTCATTGGAGCTCGGGGAGGTCGAGTTCCGTCTCCAAACTCAAGCTCTGCCATCCATTGGATTGGCCCGAGGAGAGGGCATAATAACCTTTAATTCCGTGTAGTCGTGATAAGATTATCCCGATGATAAGATATCACCTGATACTGATACTCCTCAGGAACGCTAACACAAGTATCATAAAATACCGATGACGAAAAAAGAGATCTTGCTAGCCCTAGAAAGGGGGGCTTTTCAGTTGAAGAATCCAGGCACGCTTGTTCATGTATGTACCTTCCGCGCTAAATCAAAAGCGATTCTCCGGATATTGTTAGGTACCAATGATAATCATAGAATTCTGCGAGTTTATGCCGAAGACCAAGCAACATAGTTCTTTTTGTTCTCGAAGAGCATTTACTTATAGCAGCGTGGTTCAGTCTACATGAGAACCATTATATCATTATCATCACTTGCCAGTGCTAGACACCTGACATCCATCGGCCGCAGCTATTATAGTGGAAAATAGTTGACCCAACTCACGTCTATGCAGCCGACCAAGCCCGAAAGTCTCGCAAACACAAGCCGGAAAACCAAGCACCTCTGCAAGCAATAAATTAGGCCTGCTGGCTCAATGGTAGAGCGTCTGACTACGAATCAGGAGGTTCCAGGTTCGAGACCTGGGTGGGTCGATTTTTGCCACCCACCACTTGGGTGGCCGAATTAATATCCCGGTACCCCTTAAATCACATTTCATCGGAATTTTTCGGTCAATTCCTTTTTGGGTAATCAACACAAATTTCCCACGCCGTTATTATGGTGAATTATTATAATCATCTCTGGTAGTATGTGGATGGTGAGTATGAATATGGGAGTCCGAAAAATGGAGGGGTCGAAATTAGAGCTCACTAGACAATTTGTATCGTTTATTTAGCTTTATAGACACCTTAGATCTACCGAGTTCAAGAGCAACAACAGCCCGAGTGGCCTGTGTTTTTAAAGTGTTAGAGCAAAGCCGGGAACATAATTACTGATTGACATTAGTCAAAGTACCTCAATGAATCTATCCCATAGCCCCTGACTCGCTCAACTCCACTCTCCACTCCCCACCGTCCCTCTCAAACCGCTCTACTCCGCCCCCTATCCTTATCTTTACTTCTGGCTCCTCCTTCTTTCTTGCGGGTAGCTTGGGGGATTCTGACGCTGAATTCCATCAATAGCCCTAATCGAGAATCAGCAGGGCGTGGTGGCAGAGTGGTCTAATGCGGAAAGACCAGAAATTTTCTAGGACATCTTGTTCCTTCGGGAGCGTCGGTTCAAATCCGGCCTATGTCGATAAAATCCTCTTTTTGTTTCTTGTACGGTGTGCATGTTATTTTGTGTGGTGTCTGGGTTTCCTTTTGCGTCTCTCTGGTGTTGTTTGTAGTGAGGTGGTAAAAAATGGTCCCATGAGGTCGAATCCAGCCCTGGCAAGGGGTTATTTGAGCTTGCAACAGTTCCTGGAGGAGCAATATTGTCTTTCCGGTAGGCCACCAACATTCATCCGTCGCGCTCTCTACCTACCCCGGTAGAGCTACTTGGCCCATTACCACTAATTCCGCCCATTTGTTCGACACTCAGGTATGTGGATAACTCTGCTCGATATCTTGCACAAATGCAATCTACACCCCATCAACATGGCCATCAAATACACTTTGATAGCTCTTGAATGAAGAAGCTATACAGTAAATAGGGTGTTGGCATATCCTCAGCATATCTGACAATTCTATAAATCTAGGTCCTAGACTGGACAAGGGCAAAACAACATCTGGAGGCTGAGCCCAGCCTATCCACACGGACATGTGAACTTCTCCTGAGGCATGAGAACTCCCGATCATGTATCCAAGCGTTCCCAGCCAAACATTATATATACAGCCTCAGATGGTTCCGAGACCAGACTAGCCCCCTTTTCTTGTAATGACCATGTTATGATACCTTCCAAACGCCGTCCATGCAATCAAGTCCTCCAGCAGAGCCATTAGCCCCCCGCTACTCCCGTCATGAGCGCATAGCCCTCTCCCTCAACCCCTGCGCCCTCGTCTCCTCCATCTCTTTTCTGACATACGCATTGAACTCATCGGCGTTATCAATGTACAGGTGATGCCCCGCCTTGCTGACAATCACTACCTTGGCACTACCGCCCTCGCGCCTCTTCTCCTCCTCGGTCCCGTTCAACAGCGCCTTGACGATCCTCTGCTTCACCTCCTCCTCCGCCGCAAACCCGCCCGCGACGTCCATCCAGTCATTGTCGCCATACATAAACACAATCGGGAACCCCGTCTCTCTGACAGCGGGCTCCGTCTCGGTGGCGGGCTTGACGACCTGCCGCCCGACGTCCTGGATCCGGTTGATGACCGGACTGCGGGCGAAGGCGCCGGGGGCAAGGATGTACGGGAGGGCGTACTCGCCGCTTCCCTTTTGCCTGAAGAGCGAGTACGAGTACGTGTGGAGGGCCTCCTTCTCGTCCGGCGGCAGGTGGTTGAAGCGGCGCGACGTCCAGCCCGAGACGAAGCGTGGGCCAAGCGGGCCCGTCATGCGGACGATGCTGAAGGGGGAGACGTTGGCGTCCCAGAGCCAGACGAGCCAGCTCGGGAGGGGTCGCTTGGGCGGGGTGGTGGAGTTGGGGTTGGCGGCAGCAGCGGCTTTTTTGTCGCGGGCGCGCATGAAGTTGTTGTTGTCGCCGCCGGGCGCCGGCTTGCTGTTGGCGATGCTCTCCTGATCCTGGATGAATTCATTGGCCATGGTCGACTCCCCGGGCTCGGGCATGTCAGCGTTGACCGCCCAGGGATCTTCGGGGATGCCGACGGGAGACGCGAGGATGAGCTTGTTGAGTCGCCCGGGGTATTTGAGGGCGTATGAAACTGCCAGATAGCCGCCGAGCGAGTGCCCCATCAATGTAAACTTTTCGATCTTGCGAACGCGCCGCCACTCCTCGAGGGCGTCAATAAACCAGTTTTCGGCCTCGGCGATCTTTTCCTTGGGGGTCGTCGTCTTGATCTTGAAGGGTGGCCGAGTCGAATTGCCCATGCCGAGCATATCCAGAGCGTACAATTGCCAACCTTTCCCCCGGCTCAGGGGCTCAAAGTTCTTGTAGAAGAAACCGAGACCGGCGCCGTAGCCATGGAGCATGACGAGGGTGTCGTCGACCTGCTCATCGGTGCGGTGGATAGAGAGTTCGTTGAGGGCGCGATTTTTGCCCGAGAGCTGGACCATTGAGGAGCGCCATACTCGCTGGCCAAAGGGATCGTTCCTGGCAAGATCATTTGCCTGCCAGGTTTCGGCGCCGTCGGCCTCCCTCAGGGAGGGGATGAGGGAGAGAACATTTCGCTCGGCTTGGCGGGATGATATACTTGTCCACTAAAGTTGGGCGCGTCTCGTCAACTCACCGCCTCGCGGCATTTAGTTCAGGACAGACTCACCCACTGCTGCGCGGCCTCCTTGTAGCCCAGGGGGAAATATGCGCCCATTGCGCCGCGTTGCGGCTTTTGGTCGCTGTCGCCAGATGTCTGGGACTGTGCCGAAGCCTGCGCGCGCTGCGAGGCCAGCATGGGCTGTTGGGACCTCGGCCCGGAAATGGTGCCGTCGGTCGTCATGTTGCTCTTTTGGTCGTCAAACCGCGCAGCGAGGGAGACAAGCTTCAGTCGCTTTGGTAGGAGAAAAGAAGTCGGATACGTCTTGAGCATGTCGGGAGCGAAGGTGCGGGCCACGCCCCTTATCCATCACTCAGCTTCAGGGCACGCTGTTCACAATTGTTGGGACGGGAAGAGGGCACGGGGGATGATGCAAGTGGCCATCCAGGGCCCCTAGTGCCCACAAGCCACATCGGATTTTGCAACCCTCCGCCGTCCCGAATTGTCGCCGGCCGCACCCGCCTCATTGTCCACCGTCCAGTTGTCTTGGTCCCCTAAAAGCCGCCGCGAATGCTGATGACGTCGACTGGCTGCCTTGGGGGCTGCTGCCAACAACCACGCCTCATGCCTCGGCTCGCTGTCTGTGCCTGACGACCACGTCTTTGGGTTCTAGAGCAGGCAATGGAAGTTTTGTTTTCAATCGTCTTAATTCTAATTGTTTCGATGAGAAGAACAGCATCTTTGGCACCCTAGCACGTTAACTCTGTGGTTGTAGCCACAGCAAACTCAGCAGGTCAACTGTGGCGGAGCTGTCCCAATTCCCAAACAGGAGGCTAGCCCGCTGCAAGCCATCGCATTCCGAAAAATCGGGAACTTTGTTTGTCAGAGCGCTGAACTAACGACACGACCTCAAAGCATTCCACCACGGCGATACTCTAAAATCCGGCGAGACTCGCGATCCACAAAATCGAGTGCATGCAGCAGCGATCAGCTCCGGCTCCGACTGCGGCACCGGTTGTCTGACGTGTTGCCGTGAGCCGATGCGTAAGAAACAGTAACCGCTCCTAATCCCTCCCGAAGGCCCCCTCTCGTACCGACTCCGAATCCCGTCCCGATTCACCCCTCGGTTCCGCCCAGTCCACGGGCCTCGCGGGGCTACGGCTCCCAATTTCTCCCTCGTCTCTCGTTCAAACAACAACTATGGCCGATTCACTCGACTCTATTGTCAAGGGCGCCCCTGTCGCACTGCCCGGCCGCGATCCGCCCAAGGCCGTCGGCGGCACTAGCCCCATCTCTTCGTCCACGACGCCTGGCAAAGCCGGCGACCCCCTCAGCCACACGCCGAGCTCCCCGTCAATGATCTACCTCAATCTTCTCATCCTCGAGGCGTCACTGCGCGCCCAGTATATCGAGCTGCGTGCCCGCCGCCGTCACCATACCTTCTTCCTGTCGCTGCTGTCGCTGTGGACCGTCGGTTTCGGCTGGGCCCTGTTCCTGGCCCCGCGCGAGGATGGCAGCGGTGTTGGCGGCAGTGTGTACTGGATGGTTGAGACGACGGAGCGCATGTGCTTTTTAGGCGGTATCATGACGGGCCTGCTCGTGTGGGCCACGGGCATCTGGGAGCGCGGTGTGCGCTGGCCGCGCCGCTGGTTCGCCATGTCGAACCGCGGCCTTAGAGGATTCAACTGCAAGCTCGTTGTCATGAAGCGGCCGTGGTGGCGCGAGGCGCTGGCGACGACAGGATGGTTTCTCACATATGGACTGTTCTCCAACTCCGGGTCGTCGTTCCGCTACGTGGAACCGGCTGTCTTGCGCGAGGTCGACAAGGAGCTTAATCTGAACAACCAAACGCACCCGGCGCTGCACGTTATGAACGGTGACGAAGAGAGGGGCGGTCACGAGGAGGACCTATCGCCAGGCGGGGACTACGTCAAGCTGCTGCTTTTGGCGAAGCCCTTCTCGCCCACGTTCCGCGAGAACTGGGAGTTGTACCGCTCTGAGTACTGGGAGAGGGAGAACGAGCGACGCGCATTGCTACGGGCAAAGCTCAAGGAGAGAGAGCAAAAGCTGCGCAGACAGCACGGCGGCTGGTTTTGGTGGCTTCCATGGCGTCGGGTTGTCGCCGAGAAGCCTCAGGTTGCTGTGCGCGCGGACCCTGAGAAGGCGCATCATCCACGCCATATTGCGGTGGTGAGCGAGCACAAGAGGACGAGGAGCAACAGCACGCGCAGGGGGAGCATGTCTACGGTGGCAGGGTCGCGGAGCTCAACGCCTGCGCCGACGCCCATGCTCGAGGTGGACGAGGGCAGTGTCTCACGCAAGGCCAGCACCGCGTCAAACGCATCTGATAAGAGGCGCAAGAAGCTGGCCGCGCCGGGGGGGAAAACCCGCCCGCGGGTTGAGTCGCGGTCTGTCACACCAGATAACCCATCGCCGCTGGCTAAGGAGAGCAGTATCAAGGGCGATGGATCGGATCCTGCAGGGTTCGCGCGTCCATAGAACAGCAGTGGTTTTGCTTTTGTGTAAAAGTGCAAGCGTTGCGAATGTTGTTAGTTGTATGGATTGTCTCTGAGACAGCGAGATGCTGGCGTTGATCATGCAGCGGGAATAGAAAAGATAGGCAATGAATGGAATGCCTCGCAAGTCATGTTGAGTGTGCTACTGGCTTCGTCCTTTGTCTAGGTGCCTAGGTGGGTTGCGCTCCCGTGTTGATACCTAGGTACCGAGAATCGAGACAGCCAGCCAGGGGCTACCCTGGCAACTGTACCACTCAATTCGTAAGGGTTCAGGGACTGTTCCACCCGCAAAGAAGCCCCCGCAAATGCGGCTCGAGTCTGCAGATGGATCTCACATGAACTAACGCAGTTCAATCCGGGGTGTCTAGATGAGGGACTACGGCGGCCTGCTGAGTGGCTGGATTCGGTTAACAGCTTTCGGCTATCAGGC